GAAACAGTCCGACGGAAGTCCCGGCAACTTCCCCGGACGGTGCAGTACCGCCGGCCGCATCCAATGTGCCCAATCCCGCATGCCAACCCACACCTGCAGACGCCAGAGCCTCGCATACGCCCAGGGGAGGACTATTGCTGGACGTCTTCGCAGGAGTGCGTGCACCAATTTCCGCGGCAGCAGACCAACGAGGCCTGGCGCGCTTCGAAGCCTTTGACCTGGACGCCAATCCTCAGCACAACATTCTGGATGACGCATGGTTCGAACTGCTTCTACGCATATGCTGGTCGGGCAGCGTTAGTTTGCTAACCCTAGCACCGCCGTGCAAGGAATACTCCCGGCTCAAGCTTGGGCCGGGCGGGCCCAAAGCGTTACGCACACCTTCATGCATGCTAGGTGTGCCCAATTTGTCACCAGCAGAACTCTCTCGGGTTCGCGACAGCCGCGAAATCCACAGAAGAGGACGAGAGCTGTTCAAAGCAGTAGCCTCACAAAGTGGCGTAGCAATCTTCGAGCAGCCACCGTCCAGCATGGCGTGGTTAGAGCCGGAAAATTTCCAGTGCTTACAAAACTTTCACGGGCACCTCGCATGGGTGGATGCGTGCCAACATGGTATGCTGCTCTCCAAATCATGGTGCTTCGCCAGCAACAATGCATGCATCCAGCATATGGCCAGCAGATGCACGCATCAACAAAAGCACGCCAGCATAGCTGGAGTTCAGGGAAGCTCAGGCCAGTACCTGAGCACGCTTACAGCCGAGTACCCGGCAAGTCTCGCAGCAAGTTTGATCAAACATTGCGCATTCAAAGTGAGCACGCAGCCCGAGGTCCGCCGCTTAAGCAAACCCTCCCCGCTTTCACTGCACCCCATGCACCTGCGAATATGCGAAGGAGCTGGCATGCATTCAACTGCAGAACACTCAATCCCTCAACCAAACCACCCGCTCACCATAGTCGCACGGGCCTGGCTGCATTGGCTAAACGAACAAAAACTCATCCCAAAAATTCTGGCCCATGTGGGCTCCGGCAACGCATCCCCTCCTCTCTCGGAACAGCAATCCGAGGAGGCAGCACGAATAGCATTCCGCGCCATGAGCATGCCGTGCCCATCCGAGCTTGCGCCCGATGAAGGACAGCCGTACCGCCTGTCACTTTTGCATGCCCTAGCGTCGGCATCCAATGACCCCGACCTCAAACTGGTGCCGCTGCTGGCAGAAGGCGTGCCAACAGGGGCAGCGTCTGAGTTGCCGCGCAGCATGCAGTGGCCGCCAAAACCCCAGGCAGACCTGCCTAGTGAACTCACCGAGTGCATCGGCAACTGGAAAGCCGCTGAAGCGGAACCAGAAACAGTGTCCGCCTTGCTAGAAAAAGAAATTGCAAACGGATGGGTCATTCGTACCAGCATGTCCATCGAACAAGCCAGACAGCATTGGCATAAAGGCATAGCAGTCGGGAAGCTCAACGTCGTGCATGCTGAAGGCAAAGACCCGCGACTAGTCTTAGACAGCACTGTGTGTGGGGTGAACCCCAACTCCGCAATTCCCGAACGCATCAGCCTGCCAATGGCCTCAGACGTGCGCTTAGCCTTCCTCCCCGAGGACACGCACTCGTCCTTTGTGGGGGCAAGCTTTGATTTCAAAGCAGCGCGTAAGCAGATCCAAGTGCACCCCAGTGAACATGGCCTGCTTTTGTTTCGGGTTGCCGATGTCCTGTACCATTATAGAGTGTGCCACTTCGGAGCACGCTTCTCTGCATACTGGTGGCAGCGCACCGGAGCATTCCTCCTGAGACTACTGCACGGCATTTTGGGACTGCACCCGCATCGCGCATGGTTGTTCGTAGATGACCTTTTAGCCGCACTGCGTCGCAATGACGCAGACTCGCAGCTGGCCCTCATGGTCATGTTTTTTGCAGCCATATCGGCCCCGATCTCCTGGAAGAAAGTTCAATTTCAAAACAACCTCACGTGGTGTGGGTGGCGCATTAATTTCCTGCACGAGACCATCGAACTCACGCCGGAAAAAACCATCAAATTGAAAGGACAGTTGCACGAGCTGCTCAAAGCAGGAAAGGTCAAGCGCAAACTCCTAGAGCAGGTTCTAGGACTTCTCATTTGGGCTACCAGCCTGAGCCCCGAACTCAGATCCTGGCTAGCGCCATTGTACACAGACCTGCACTCGCCGCCGGGTTGCATGCTCTCTGTCCATGCGCGTTTATGGCCATCTTTCCTTTCCGCATTAGACGCCAAAGCCGTGCTCAAATCAGCAGTGCATGGCATTTTTATGCCGCAAGTTGTCAAAGCTTGATAACGCTTTGGGAAAGAGCCAACCCCCCCCTCCTTGTTTGTGAAATGTGTATTTCACAAACACACACGGTTGTGGAAACAATGCTCAAACTCGAAAACTTGAGTGTGCAACATTTGGCCCTAGGGTGTGGCGGGTGGGTTCTCTCGGTAATTTTGTAGATTGCCGATTGCTTTTTGCATGGGCTCCTGGCTGTCACGTGTGAACGCGACTGCAGTACACAACTGGCGTCGATTTATTTTGCACATTCGCAACTTACGTCGCTTGCAGCGGTTCTTTCATAACATTGGTATGTACCTACAGCAACGTGCTTCGCGCCAGTTTTTGACATCCTTGTCCCGCTTGCGTTGAACAGCACAGACCTCGGTCAAGAAGGGGTGAGATGTGTGATACGAATGAAATCTCAGATGTGGATGCTGAGAGTATTATTCCGAGTGACGGGTATGATATCGCCGAGCCTGAAGGTTCCCTTGTGCAGGAACCATCTTGGGGTGATCTGCCCGTGGCTACAGATTCGGCCAGGAGTCAGGTGGAAGGGGATGGTCCCGTTCTTTCACAATTACAAAGCGAGCAATTTGTTACAAACAGTTTTCTCTCTAATGCGGAGTGGTCGGCTATTCGCTTGCCATGGGAAACCGGAATTTACAGGAACATATTTTCAGACGACGGCGCTAGTGCCGAGGATGCCGGTTTCATGCAATTTGACACCTCTTCCAGATTCAAGCAGCTTGGAAGTGCGTGGTGCCAATCCTGTGGAACCGGACATTCCCGTGGTGGGCGGAGCCGTATTTTTGCAGGCGGTGTTCAGCTTGGCGGACAAGACTGAAGCCGACAAACGAGCTGCTATCATCGAAGCGGCTGTTCACAAATGGGTGACTATTGTCAAACAATATCCGGGGGACTTCCAGAAGTTTGACACTGGTAGCAGTGGATACCAACCGCCATTTGAGATTGGTGATGAAGATATTTTTGGTAATGTGCGAGCCATGGTGGGTGTGAGAGCCCCTCTCACAATCATGAAACGGGCCAATAGCTTGTTGGCATTTTTGCGTTGGGCCAGCAACACGTGTGTGATTGTGGACTCTCCGTTTACAGAAGAATTGGCTTGGATGTATTTCAAACACTTGAAAGACTCGCACGCTGCTGCTACGGTTGCTTCTGGATGCATGTCTTCCTTCAGATTCGCGTTCTTCGTGTTGGGTTGCGAACAGTTTGAGAACGTGGTGAACAGCAGACGGTTGGTAGGACTTGCAGACCAATTGCTGACGAACAAAGGTCTACTTGCTCAAGCCCGACCCTTGCATGTGTACGAGGTGATGACCCTCCACAATATCTTGGTTGACAAATGCAGACACCTGATGGATCGTGTAGCTTGTGGGTTTCTTTTGATTGCATTATATGGCAGATGCAGACATTCAGATTTGAGTCATGTCCACAGCATCGAGCATGATTGGACTCAGGATGGAGGTTTTCTGGAAGTGAAAACAGCGTGGCACAAAACCGCAAGGTCTGCGGCCTCGAAGACGATGCTGCTCCCGATCCTCATCCCGGCTATTGGTGTGAATGGCAAGATGTTTCAGATGTTTTTGCAGCTGCAGGTTTGCCTTTTGGACAAATTGACGGGCCTTTGTTTCCAGCGCCAAAACCTCATGCCGATTCGGGGTTTTGCAAGAGAAGCATCACTTCACAGGAATCATCCAGATTCCTGCGGGCCTTTCTCCAGGTGAGTGATGAACAGAAGGAGCAAGAGGGCAGACTGTCTTCTCACAGCTTGAAGTGCACAACTCTGAGCTGGGCTGCCAAATTTGGTTTGTCCCCTGATGAACGGTCAATGCTTGGCAGACATGCTAGATCGACTCACGAGACGTTCGCACTGTATTCTCGTGACCTAGTGGTGGCTCCCACCAGATCGTTGCAGAAGGTCATTTTTGACATCCATGCCAAGACCTTCGTGCCTGATGCCAAGAGAAGTGAGTATTTCCCCGCTCAATCCACTGTGGTGGTGGCAGATGGTGAGCCTGACGTGAAGCAGGAGCCGAATGAAGAGCCTGGTTATGTGCATGTCTCAGGCTCAATGGAAACCTTTCATGAGGTGTCCAGCTCTGCGGACAGCGTTTCGTCCGAAGCTGAGTCTGATGAATCCTGTCAGCAGGCCCCACCTATGAAGGTGCGGAGGTATGCGCAGGCTCAGCTTGCTGCTGAAGAATGGTTTGCCCATGTGAAGTCTGGGATTCTGCATGCCAAACAGCAGAACCTTGATGGATTCATGAATTCATTTTTGAAATGTGGGAAAAGGCTTAATGAAGCCTATGTGAAAATGGATCAAGGCACGGAGAGGAATGCCCTCTGCCGACTGTGCCTGAGGGCAAAATCCATTTGAGCCAGTTGTGAACACAGCAGATGTTGCTGTCAGCCGATATGTACCGGCTCGGGTGGTGTAACCCTCATGCATGTGAAAGGCCAAGCAGGATGTCTGCTAGTGTGAAAATGTGCTGGCCTAATGAAACTGGCTCATGTGATGTGAGTGATATGAAAGGCAATGTGATGTGCCTTAGAGTGTTTTCCCATAGATTCGTGGCTCAAGCATGATGCGGCTCACAACATGTTCTTGCAACGGTTGTGTGTTTGTTAACTTGTTCACACGTGCATGTTGGTACATTGGTACTTGAAGTTGCAGTTGTTTGGACCCGGATCGCCATGACCAGCATTGTGGACAGTGCTGCCCATTTCAGGAAGAGAGCACTGGAAGTCGGGCTGACGGCGCCTCATGTTGACTCGTTGGTGAACTCAGGCGTGGCCAGTTTGGGCGCCTTCGCTTACAGTTTTGGGCAGCCTGGGCAAGCCATCAACGACAATGAATTTTCCGACTGGGTCCGTGCAAATATTGATGTAGGGGCCAACATCGGATGTGTGTCTAGTGCAAAGAGGCTTCTCTTCGAAGCTCAGACAATTTTGCTGGCATCTCTTAAGGAGTTAGTTACATCGCCAGACGCGTCGAGTTCGAGGAAGCTTCCGGTTGCAGAACGAGAAGCAAAGATGCAGGCGTTGAAGCAGAAATTATCCGGGGTGTTGGTGTCCGGCACCATGGACCCTGGTCACACGCTCTTGGATAGCGTGACGCAGATGTATGAGGCAAATCAGCTGAAGTATGTTGCACCGGAGAAGTGCGTGAGCAGAACACATGAGCTTACCCATGCCAAGCAGCCGACTAAGGTAGTTGAGTTGGAAGCAGAACGGCTTGTGGTGAAGGAGCAAGACAGCGTGCCAGATGCTCAAGCTGGCAGCGGGTTGTTGCTGCTAGAGGCGCTCAAGCGTCGTGGGTTGGCCTTGGTTTTTGCAGACTGCATCACGCATAGCACTCACGAGAAGTACCTCCAGCAATTGTTCGCCCACCTACACCGAGATCCCCCTCCAGGTTATAGCAAATGTACGTTGCAACAACTGGTGGCGCCAGACAAGGCGGTTTGGACGAAGCTCATTGAAGATTGCGTGAAGCCGCGCCGCAACGAAGCCGGCGTGCTGGAGTTGGACACAGCTTTGGCCCACGCCTTGGAATCCTATGAAGTCAGCTTTCTGTTGCTACCCATGGCCAAACAAAAGGAGTTGCCAAAGCGGCCTGAGAAGCGTCAGACCGCGCCCAAAGAGGCAGCTTCCGGGAAAGGCAAGGGATCACGATTCCAGCCTTATGGCAAGGGCAAGGGATCCGCTGGTAAGAAAGGCAAAAGCATGGAGATTCGCGTTCCCAAGGACATCCGCGACGCCGGTGGGGTCGCATTTTTGCCTACAGGTGAAGCCATCTGTTTCAACTACAATTTGAACGGTTGCGACCAAGCAGCAGATGGAGCGTCGTGCAGTCGAGGTTTGCACGTTTGTGCCAAGTGCTTCAAGGCGCACGGTTTGGCGAAACACGGCAACTGACTAATCGAAGCAAGCGCGAGACGGCTGAACCGCGACAATGAGGTTATTGATGATGATGCCTCGGAGGCAGACCTTGTGAATAATGTACAAATTCCTGACGTGTTGGATGCAGATTTGACCGTCGATTTTCCGGATGGTCTTGAGCCAGCGCCGGCTGGTCCACAGCCGCCCGTTTCAAGTAATTTAGTTTCACATGTTCCTTTTCTGGTGCAGCAGCCGGTGGCCCGCAAGATACCAGAATGTGAGCAGAGTAGAACTTCTTGGGTGCAATGTACGAATCCTTTCATACTTGAAGTGTTCGCAGGCTCAGGGAGAGTCACCGCGTGCTTGCGAGCCGCAGGGTTAACCAACTGCTTTGGTGTCGATCATAAATTGGTTAACCCTGTAGGTGCTGTCCGGCTTGCCGATTTGACTACGAAGGAAGGGCAACAGCTGTGCATGAAATGGGTTAAAAGCCCCTTGTGTGCGGGAATTTTTGCCGCACCTCCTTGTGGCACTGCCAGCCGTGCAAGGGAGATCCCCTTGAAAGGCCGCCAGGGTGCTGGACCGCAGCCGTTGCGGTCGACAAGGTTCCCAAACGGCATCCCGGGGGTACGCAAATTTTTGAAGCCTAGAGTGAGTGCAGCAAACAAATTATATGAATTCGTTACAGACCTGGCGGTGCTGTGCTTGTCCAACCAGCAGCTTGTGTGTATTGAAAACCCACGTTCGTCTTTGTATTGGAGAACGTCCTTTTTCAAACAAATCTCCCATGAAATGCGGTTTGTTGCTCACCAAGCCTGTGCTTACGGCAGTGAACGGCCGAAATGGACAGCGCTGGCACATAATCATGATGAATTTGAGCAGATTTGCCAAGCTTGCCCAGGTGTTTCCGCCTCACACGTTCACAAGCCGTGGGGCGAAGCAATAGTGGATGGGAAAACAGGTTTTTGCTACCGCTATGGAGGCCGCATATCCTTGGCCTTTGGCAGCTCAGATCGCAAGAGCATATGCATGTGCTTTGCTAGCCCGTGGTTGGCATCCGCCTGCCCAGCAGCTGCTTGACCAGCAGTACGACACATCGCTGATCATGATGCGGGCGACTTCCGGATTCCAGCCGAAAGCTTCTAAGCACACAAAATGACCATCTCAGTGCATGCGCCGCTAGAGGAGTTGCCTTGCGCTCCAATGGAACGCATCAAGAAACCCTGGACTCCATCGCATAACATGCTCACGGTGCCTGAGAGCAGCCAGTTGCTACGCACCAAGCCATTGCGGGTAAATGGGGGGTTGGAAGTTTCATCGGGGGGTGTTTCTGAGGCAGAGTCTGTGACCAACCGTGTGCCCAGGGCGGAGTACCGTGTGCCCAGGGCGGAGTCGGTCTGGGGTGTGCCGTGGTCAGAGGATGAGTTTGTAACGCAAGCCGTGAGGGCTGGGCACCCCAAAGCCTTTTCGCATTGTCTTCCTAGACCTTTGCAAGATGCTTGTGACACCTTATGCTCAACACCTCCTGCGCACCTTGCTCAGCAACGAACCGCTTGGTTCAAGTATTGGGCGGATCAAGCTAGGGTTCTAGCGCCGGCAGAATCCCTGCTTAAAGCAAAAATGGACCCGGAATTGGCCGGACTTTTGAAACCCAAGCGGCTGCTTTTGTGGAAGGCTTTGCTTGAAGCTCATGGATACCCAGACATGGGTGTTTGTGATGAGATGATGCGCGGGGTGTCGCTCACGGGGGAAGTGCCTATGACAGGGTTGTTTGAAGCCTCTTTCAAACCGGCAGAGCGCACCCTTGAGTCTTTGTCCGAGGCGGCAGGCGCCAGCAATGTGGCAATCTTCAACAGCACGCGTTCGTCAGGTTCGCCAGAGCTCGACGCCGAGGTGTACCGAAAAACCCAAGTGGAACTAGACGAAGGCTGGATCACGGGCCCTTACGATCTGGGAGAGTTAGAGGTGGGGGCCGTGCTAAATCGCAGATTCGGACTTCAGCAGGCCAACAAGGTGAGGTTGATTGACAACGTCAGTGGCAGTGGAGTAAACAGCACTGTGCAAGTGTGCGAATCACCCAAACCTCATACCACAGATGTGGTGGCGGCTGTGTGTTCGCGTTTGCTGCAAAACTGCGATAGCAAAACTGATGTGCTGGGTGCCGCCTACGATCTGAAGTCCGCATACCGTCAGGTAGGACTTCTGCCTTGTGCTAGGAAGTTTGCTTACATTGCCGTCTATAACCCTGATCTTAAAAAGCCTGAGGTTTACCGTCTAGTTGCGGTGCCATTCGGTGCGTCTCGTGCGGTACACGCGTTTTTGCGCATCTCACATTCCATTTGGTGGTTGGGGGCGCGTGCTCTGAGTGGTGTGGACGAACTTCTTCGACGACTTCATTACCCTTTGCAGATCGCCAGAGGCTGTGAGCACTAGTCAGTGTTGTGGAAAGCCTGTTTTGCTTGTTGGGTTGGGGTTATGCCGACTCTGGCGAAAAAGCTGGACGATTTGACACCTGCTTCCAGGCTCTGGGAATTCAAGTTGACTTGAGCGGTCTCAGGAAGGGCGTGATCCTTTTCGATAATACAGCCAAACGCAAGATTGAGCTTTGTGGAGAAATAGATTCCATCTTAGCAGATGCCACCCTCAAGCAACCACATGCTTTGAAGTTGCGTGGACGTATGCAATTCGCCGATGGGCAGCTTTTCGGGCGGGCCAGCAGGTTGTGCCTCAGGGAAGTGAGTGCGCACGCATTCTCTGGCAGCGGTGAACGTGTTGGTCCTCGGTTGTCATTGGCGCTTCGGAGATTCAGAGATCAGTTGTCCCGTGGACAGCCCAGGCAGTTGTCGCGTACCTTTGGGGACCCGTGGTACATTTTCACAGATGCATGCTTTGAGAAGGAACGCCCGGAGTGGATGTGCGGCTTGGGGGGGATACTGTATAACCCCTCAGGTGAAGCTATTGAGTTTTTCTCCGCCTGTCTCTCCCATGAAGAGGTTTGTGCACTTGGCGGTGATGTGAAGAAAACCATCATTTTCGAAGCTGAGCTTTTGGCACTCATTGTCGCCATTCATTTGTGGTCCAGTACCTTGGAAGGCCAGCTAAGTGTATTTTATGTCGACAACAACTCGGCGCGAGATGTGGCAGTGTCGGGTAACGCCCGGTCCGAAACTGGTTCGGCATTGGTTTCCATCCTTCTGAAAATTGAGGATAGTATTTCCCTTTTTCCTTGGTACGCAAGAGTGGCCTCCCCGCCAAACCCAGCTGACAGACCTTCCAGAGGTTCGACCGAGCGTCTGAAAGTGCTTGGGTTAAAAGAGGCATGCTGTAAAAGTGTATTTGAGAAAATCATTCAACAAATCGGATAAGATGGGGATTGCATGTAAATAAATGTGAATACTTGCCACGCTGAACGTGTGCCAGCCTACACTGCAGTTTGTAAAACCTTGGCAGTGTGCACTACGACGTGTGCGACCTATCAGTGTGGATCTGCATGGATCGCTTCGTGCAAAGCGACTTTCACCTACCCCCGTTTGCATTAGAAAAGGAGAGTGTGCGCTTCTTAGTGCCGGCGGTTAGCAAGTCTGGTGAATGCTGTGTCGTGTGTGTTGAGGGGGGGGTTTGGCTCAAGACCTAAGCAAGTTGTCAAAGCTTGATAACGCTTTAGGGAAAGAGCCAACCCCCCCCTCCTTGTTTGTGAAATGTGTATTTCACAAACACACACGGTTGTGGAAACAATGCTCAAACTCGAAAACTTGAGTGTGCAACATTTGGCCCTAGGGTGTGGCGGGTGGGTTCTCTCGGTAATTTTGTAGATTGCCGATTGCTTTTTCCCGCCCGCCCGCCCCTGCATGTGTGCCATCCTGGCATGAGCGACCGCTCATTCTCTTCCATGCCTTTTTCAAGAAATTGCATTGGGATTGCATGTAAATAAATGTGAATACTTGCCACGCTGAACGTGTGCCAGCCTACACTGCAGTTTGTAAAACCTTGGCAGTGTGCACTACGACGTGTGCGACCTATCAGTGTGGATCTGCATGGATCGCTTCGTGCAAAGCGACTTTCACCTACCCCCGTTTGCATTAGAAAAGGAGAGTGTGCGCTTCTTAGTGCCGGCGGTTAGCAAGTCTGGTGAATGCTGTGTCGTGTGTGTTGAGGGGGGGGTTTGGCTCAAGACCTAAGCTAGGCTCTAAAGTTCTAGAGTTCCAAGGGGCATGCATTCGCACGCCAGCCGACCTGCCTCGCGTTGTGCCTAGCCACAAATCCGCTTGGGTGCGCATAGCGGACGCCTCCGCAGAGCACACTCGCCTGTCCAAGATAAGCAAACACAGCGTAGAATGGCTGCTGCAATGCTTCCATCTAGACCTCGCATGCCCGCTGAGAAGCAAACCAATGCTGGCTTGCAAGGCCGCCGCGGATGCATGCGCCGAGGGCAGTATTGTAGGCATAGGAGGTTGGTTCATCTCCCGCAACTCCGTTGCGTGGTTCGCAGAGACATGGCAATTCCAAGAAGTCCAGGAACAATGGCCATGCCTGACCAAAGAAGCCCAGCGCTACATCGCATGCTTCGAAACCTTGGCCCAACTAGCACTCATGCGGATCGCGTGGTCCTGCGAGGGACAAGGCGTGCATGGCATTTGCATGCCCACAGGAACAGATAACACAGCTTCCGAAGCCGGTGTTAATAAGCTGTTCACCACTTCTTGGCCCTTGCAAGTCTTTGTGCAACTTGTTGCTGCCTGGGCCCATAAGCACAAATGGTCCGTGATCGCGTCACACATCCCAGGGGAGCACAACATCTGGGCAGACCAGCTGAGCAGAGGTAATACCTCCGCTTTCCAGGCTCGACCAGAAGCCAGAGTGCGCTTCAGGCCGCATGATTTCTGGCCTCACGCATCAGCTCTCACACTTCACCCTGCGGACGCACCGTGGAGACCCGAGCACGTGGCTGCTGCGCAAACGCACTAAAGAGGGGGTAAGGTGATTTGACCGTTTGCTTAGAACTCTAAAGTGGGGGTATTCCGACAGGCTCCGCATGAGATGCGGGACAATGGAGTGGACGCGCATCGTCACTCCACCTGCATCTCTGAGCCTGCGCTTCTAAGCAACGCTCAAGTAAAAAAGCGCGTATCGAGTTTGCTCCGGTCGGTTGCTTTTTTCCCTGCATGTCCCTTTAGGCTTGAAGCAGTGACCAAGATTCTAACAAACGCTTGGGTCCTTTGTACAGCAGGGGCACAGCAGGTCGGATAACGCTTGCGAGATCTTTATTTGACGTAATCTTTTGTGGCATTGCGGGGACTCGATTTCCCCGCCCCTCTTTTTCACTTTGGATCATTTTTCGATGGCGGACTCTCTTATTTTGTGCGAAATATTATTCTGAGGGAGACCTACGCAACAATTGGTGTTTGGTGGCCTTCCGGATCTATGCGTTGTTTTGCTATGCTCGTGGATCCCATTCCCTAGCCGGGATTCTGGCCTTACACTGCCTGGAGATGTGGAGCTTTGATCGCCAGACACTTGGCTTGCGAGAAATGTTGCCTGGTTCTCGACACTTGGGTGTCCTCACGCGTAGAGTTTACTCTGGGGGTGACCTACACGACAATTGGTGATCTGTGGCCTTTCGGATCTATGCTTTGCTTTGCTTTGTTCATGGATCCCATTCCCTAGCGGGGATGTTGGCCTTACACTGACTGGAGATGTGGAGCTTTGATCGCCTCGAATCTTCGTTTTGCACCGCTTCCAAAAAACTTTTCTTGCCCTAACTCCTTTATATCGACCGGCGATTATGCTGTAGGCGATGTTAGGGAAAAAAAACGCCTCGATGCCTATGTTCAGTCTAAGAGCGACCGTTTCAATGCGATGGCTAGCAAGGCCCGAATTATGCTGGCAGATATGCGGCAAAAAGGTCCAAGTCTTGACCTGAGCAAGCCACTTTACGCACTGATATCCAAACTTCTGCTGATGCTCCCACTTGATGAAACGTCTTAAGCATCCCCGTATGGCCACACCAAGTTGCACAGAGCCGAGTGGCACAGAGCCAAGTGGCACAGAGCCAAGTGGCACAGAGCCAAGTGGCGCAGAGCCAAGTGGCACAGAGCCAAGGAGCAGTGCAACAGGTTTTAACTTCCCTTTTTGTGTCGAAGAGTCTGTTGTGTTTGCTTGATTGGGTATTTCTGCGCGGCCGCTTGGTTCTTTTTTTTTGTGCTCCCGACTTGCATTTGATGGCGGTCCTTGGCTACAATGCGCGGTCTATGTTGTGATCTGGCTTTTGACGATGGCAGGACATGTCGTGGTTGAGTTGGCCTTGTATTTTGGATTGCCATTCACCTTCTGACCTTCGTGGCTTCCTTCCCAAGTGAGCGCGGCGTTGTTCTCTTTAAGGTGTTTTTGTTGGTCGTTGCCAGAATTGTCGAAACCATCCTTGGCTGGTCGTTTACATGTTGGTTCGCAGCGAACTGCAAGTGTGGTGCAGTCATGCCGTGGTAGTTTGCCGTTTTTGTGTTGGCCCCGATGGCGGTGATGTTGGTGATGTAATTTTCCAGGTAGACAGAAATCTTTCAACTTTGATTGACTATAGATATTGTCAGCATGTTAAAGCACAGAATGGTGAAGGAGGAAGAGGGATGACATGTATGGTGCTTGTGGAAAAAATTGGTTTGTTCTTGTTCTGCCTGGTTGAGGCATCCGTCTCCCAGACATGTATGACTTTGGAAGGTGATTTGCTGAGGAATCCGTTTTTCGTTTTGTTTTGTTGGTGGTTCTTTGCTGCTGTTTTTGTTGTTGTGTTTGTCTTGTTTTGGAACAGCAGACTTGTGTGACCGCGATTGGCCGCACGGAAAAAAACCAACACAAAACGTTTGGCATAGAACCATTGCTGATCCCTAGATTGCTAAGAATGAGAGAGTGATTCATCATTGCATGTTGGCACAGACGTTTTTTTTCAACGTTTTCGGGTTGGTTTGCTGGTCCTTGGCAGCATTTCATCCTTGCATGCCTGGTTGTGTTTTGCCGTTTTGTGCTTGCCTTTTTGCATTTCTGTTTGGCGGCCCCTTGCTTTGGATGCCACCGGGGCAGTGCTCTTCACGCACTGGCATGGCATGCGTGCAGCCTGCATTTTTTTGATTTGCTTGGATAGGCCTTGAAAAAGACAGCCTGCAAGTTGCTCCTCACCTGATTTTAGAGCTCTGTCCAATCTAGTTGCTTCAGCCTTGCAGCTTAGTTCACAGTAAGTGCTCCACGTGCCTACCGCAATCCTTAACTCTCGATGACATGGTGTCTTGAGAGTGCCCAGTGACCCTTGATTCCCAAGTCTTTTGTTATAGGGCTTCTTCTCTATCATTCCCTTCTCCTTTTTCTCACTAACCGTTCATTCTAGTCGATCCAAAGGTAAAGATAGAAGGGAACAAGAAAGGATTGGGATATGATGGAGAATGTCTTTCATGTTTATCTTCATCATCCAACCGTTACCTCTTTCCCCAACTCTCTTCGTCCATGATTTGGGACTTGGCTGCTCAGGAGAGAACTGTTTAATCTTGCCTGATTAAGCTGAAGTGTTGTGTGGGTGCTCATGCACACTTATCTCAATCACGCCCACAGTGCCACGGTGGCTGGGCTACATTCGCAATGCTAGCCCTCAATGCCAGTTGCTGGACCGTACTGATGCCAAACATAGCTTTGCCGTGCGCACCACCGAGGGCCTGTCCGCCTCCAGGAGAAATAGGATGATGACGGTTGATCCATCAAACGCTTCCTAGCGCAGGACCTATCATACATATAGGGCTGTTTGCCCCCCTCCCGACAAAATGTGTGCTTGTAGAGCACAATTCGGGCGGTTTTGTTGAACAAGGGTTTGACAAAATTTCCCAATAGTGTGCGAAGTGCGTATCCGTCACATCTCATGTGGCAGAATCCGTTAGCCAGGTCATAGAATGATGCAATTTTTATGTGAACATGGTACAGGTCTGTTAGATGGTTTGTCTGTGCTGCGTATGTACCCATAGCCTTTTTGCCTGACAACCCTTTGCACCGCCTCAGCATTAAAGCGCCGAAGGCGCCAAATTTGGCACAGGGAGCCCCCAAACACAGCAGGGAACTGAAAACAAGAGCAAGCCAGGCGCATGGTCAAGGAACAGTTTTCATGACCACCTGAAGTTTTGCGGCTGTTGCTACTCAAGCCGCTGCCGATGCCACCCCGCAAGCTCGTTTCGTGTAGCGTGTTTCGTCGGTGTCATGCAGACATCCAGCAAGTGAGGCAAAACGGGCGCAAAGTGGGATTGACCAATGTCGGGTTCCTCAAAATGCAAATCCCATATATGACTGACACCGCCCGCCTTTCGACGCCACCCACATTTCGGCAAGGAAAGGGATTGAACAATATTTGGTTCTCCAAACATTGCCGCGTGACCACGTGAACAAAACAAATGCAACATATTATTGAAAGAAGGCAGAAACCGTTTTAACACGACGCATAGCGATCCACGGGAGGCAGGCTTGTTTATTTGCCGATCCTCTGCGCGGCCACTGTGCATACACACACACAGATGCACACTTCAGGTATAATGGGGCAGCATGGTGATCCAGGAAGCCCGGGATTTGCAATCGATTGGAATAGCCAGGCTTCACACATATTGCCTCCACCGGCCCCATTTCTGGGTAAGGATATGCGGCGGGCAACAATGAGGCGGCTCTCGGCCACGGGTTTGCAGAGCACGGAGTTGCCACCTTCAGACTTGTGTCTGTTTTTTTTGATCTTTGTTCCAGTGGTTTCGTTTTTAATCCATGCACATCCAACTTTGTGGCACAGTTGGTCAGGCTCTGGCCGTCGGCGATCGGAATCAGGCTGCAAGCCATGGTTTTGCAACTTACCGTTCTGAACCAGCCACCTTGCGGAGATGTTGACGTGACTTGCCGGTTTACATTTTTTTTCCCAGAGTAGCCTTCTGCTGGCCAGAAGCCATTCTTGTTGGCCATTTGCATGTCTGTGTCCGCTGGCTCCAAACAGCAGGACTTCGCCGGGGCACAGGTTCGAAGCTGCGATTGGAGAGACAAAACATGTAACTGAAATCGAATCTTGTGGACTGCGGAACTCTGTGCAGTGTCCTGTGCCTTGAATCCCGCCGCCCTGTGGAGCCTAAAACGACTCCCGTGCCTTGGCTTGAAAGGGGAGAGCGGAGTCTGAGCTTCTTCTGTGACATGTGAATGCGCTTAATCCTTCATTCAGTGAAGCACTGAAAGGCAACGTTCATTGCAGATCAAGAAGAATTAATGTAGTCAGCGAGGTTTTCCTGACTTGGATCATTTGCCCACATGATTGGGGCCAGGTCCGATGAATGGAGGTTTGAGTGACAGCAGCATGCACCCCAGATAGCATGGCACACTACAACCGCCTGACCAGCACCCTGACGCATCGCCAACCAAGCACCAACAGCAACCACCACCACACCACCCTGACGCATCGCCAAACAAGCACCAACAGCAACCACCACACCACCCTGATGCATCGCCAAACAAGCACCAACAGCAGCCACCACACCAGCACCCTGACTGCATCCCCCAAAAAGCACCCCAGCAACTGCCACCAGCACCGTGACCAGCACCATGGCTGCATCGCCAAATAAGCACCACCAGCAACGGCCCCACGACAGCAACATCATGCAGCATCACCCCACAATAACACCCTGACTGCATCGCAGAACACCCGAACTCGCAAAACGGCCTGCCCCTCCTTAGAAGCTAGAACCCTCTATTTGGCGGAAAGACGTGTCTTCCTCTGGTAGGGATTTGCGGATTCTTTGATGTTGAGCTACCTCCCTCAAGTTCTGAGAACGAATGATCGTGAGACATACTCATGGGCGGAGTCTGTCGCTTGTGGTTCTTTTTGCACGAGCCCAGGGGCCATGTATTTGTCCTCTCGGACCATTCGCCGCCTTTTGCAGGGAGTTTCTTTATGTGGGATGATGTTTAGAGTCTAGAGGGGACGACTGGGTCACCGTTTATCTCCTCAAGTCTTTGCTCATGGGACTAGGCTGCTCGCAAAGTACTAGATGTGCAATTTCCGGGCTACCCTTGCCTCATGTTCCAACGCTCTCTCCGAGGGCGGCATTTTGGTATGGAGGATCACGAGTGCCTGGTCGCTCAAGAGGCGGCCGCTTCTCACCAGCGGGGCAATAGTCAGTCTAAGGCTTAAGGGCTTAAGGTTCCTGTTCACTGTCCTTCTCTCCAAGAGAACCGGAGGCCCAGCACTTGGGTCTGCTTCCGGTTGTTTTTTCAGAGGTGCGCACAGGTTGCTCGGCTTGTGTCCGAGGCAGTTTCCGAGGGCCGTAAACCGACCCCGAAACCTTTGCGTTGTCGGGGTCCCATTGTTAGCATTGATGTCCCCCATTGCATTTCTGGCAATGCATCGGCTGATATCCGCACTCTCCGGCCCTCTGCCATGGTCAAAGTGGCCCAGTTCTCTGTACAGGCCCCATACGGTTTGCGAAGCCCCACGGTCAGGGAATCCCAATCCCTCCAGTTGGATTGTCGCAGGAGCCAGGCGAGGAGCCACTCCGCGAGCAGGAGCCAGCGTGTGTTCGGATTCGGTGCTTTCCTGAAAGGCTGTGAGATGCAAGCCCCAAAGAAGCATGCGGAAACGGGGTTTGTCTAAGTTGCTGGCCTGATGTCCTTTGGTGATTGACGCAGTCAGGAGCGTCAAGTTGTACCTTCCACAGTTTCCCACCTTTTCCGCATATGCGCATGGATTATGGAGGGCAGATCGTCCAGAGGTGTCTTCTGGTTGTGTTTTGCTTCCGCTCAACTGGAGCTTCGCTTGTCCTTACAGCTTCCCAAATTTGACTTGTCACTTTTGTCTCAACTTGCCGGGTCCCAGGAGTCAGGCAAAGACCAGGCATCATGCAGGAGTAGATTGCAAAAACTCGGCATTGCCGCAGCGCCTTGGTTGCGAGTTAGATGCTCGGGTTGGAAATTGAGAGCTCCCTTTGTCTCAGGTATCTGGTGCAAACCGAGCTACAACAGGCCAATCAACCAGGTCCAACAAGACCAGTTTAGTCCTGCAGTCCCTTTGGTGATATTTGATAGGGATAGATGACTTCCAACCCCTAGTCTTTTGCATTAACTTTGTTCCCCATTCGTGTACTTGTCAACCACAAAGAGGTCAACTGACCATGCAGCAGCTTCATCTGCAAGACGAGGTTTCAATCGAACCTCCTCACATTTGCTTATAGAGCCTGTTGAAGCGCAAACAAATACCACATGTGCCTAAATTGTGGCAGATTGGACTGCACGGGCTGTTGCTGCACAGTTTGAGGAGTTGGGGCCTGTTGTTTTACAGCACGAGCAAGCAGGCTCAGTCCAACATGTTTCTAAGCAACCTGCTCACTGTGTTGCAGACCCGAAAGCTCCACTGAAAACCGGGAGTGGCTGAGGCCTTGCTCGGTTGCTGCCTGGCCTTGGCGTCCTTTGCGATGCAAATGCCCGGCCGCAAATGCCCTGGGGCCCAGCCACGCAGGGCTGCACGTGCCAAAGCTGGCTGAGGGTACCCCCACCAATTGCGACAGGGGGGTCCTGGAAGACCATTTTCCTGTTAAAGGGCCCCTGTCAGGTTCCATGTTAATTGGTGGGAGGGGAAGTGGTGAAAAGACAGTGCTGGCAAAAGGGCAACAGTACATGAGGTGCAACAAGGGATGTGTGTCATATTAATGCAGGTCCAACATTACATTTTGAGAACAAATCTTCAGGGTTTTTGTGAAACTTTATCCCCTAAAGCCAGTCCAAGCTACTTTGCGATTGAAACCAGAGTTTGCCCCAACAGCGATTTTTGCCGCTGACCGGCGTTTTCTTCAGCATTGCCAGACTCCACCGGCTCATCAGCTCAAACGACATCTTTCTCAATCAAGGCCATTTTCGGCCCAGGTTTCAAAAGATTTGGCTGTTGCGAAGGTCCTGGTGTTTTGGAGGTCAAATCGCATCAATCGAGGCCAATGTTTGCCTAAGAGCCTGGATTTGTCTTAGTCCAGCTTCTAATGATTGTATGACCGTTGGAATATGACCTATGATGCATTTCTCCTAGGGTGCCGACTCTGTGAGAACCATGTCTCAGCCTATCCGAGAAACGTCATTGAGTAACCTAATTCTTACGCAAGGATATTTTTCAAGTCAGCAAGTTGCGTTGTTTGGGGGAATGGAAGGGAGCATAATTTGGCCGTGCCCAAATGTCTGTCTTCTGCAGACAGCAGAGCCAGCCATCTTGCGCGCGCACTAAGCAGATACGTATGCTTCTTTAAGTTTGAGTGCCTAATAATTATCATGTACCAGCAGATGCGTATGTGTGTATACGACACGCTGCATTGCTGAGGCTCAGATGTCGTTCTCTCTGCCGAACTGTCAAAGAGCCTTGGCGGAAATCAAAGAGCGACGTCCGTGATTGAAGTGGATCCTGATTGACACATTTTGGCCCAGGAAGTTGACTGGCCTCTCTCGTTGCTAGGGAAAGGGATTCTGCAGATTCCCAAGTTCACTTGATCTGAATGTGAGGGGTTTCGCCGTTTCACAAGCGTCCTTTTGAAGCCTCGGCACAGAAACAGCCTGCCAGCCTTGTGTGACTTACCATTGGCAGCCTGGCCAACAGACAATGACATCTGAAAAAGGCTCAAGCAAGTTGAGTTTTTCTCATTTCGATGGTATCGGACGGAGAATTGCTGACTTGCAAGTCCGGAGGCTCGGGCCCATAGTTATGTGAATGCTTGGCTTGGCCCAATTCAGTAGTTTTGAGGCTTCAATGCCGGTAAATCAATGGCTTTGGCATGCACAAATGTTTGGTTGCCCTTTTTTTGACTAGACAAAAAAAAGAAACACAAACAAACGCGAGATCTGAGGCGTGTGCCCTGGACAGGAAAGCGGCGGGGTTCGATGGAGCGAAGATTGAACGTGGCTCGGTCGTCCGCTCGCTTCGGTCGCTTCGGTCGGATCGCCTGGGGCCTTCCGTTGTTTTGCTAAGGGAATTTATGGGATTGGTGGCTAAGCCCACAATTTCAACTCATCCATGCGAGCTGGGGCTATGATTGCACAACAAACTCCAGCGATTTGACACGAAAGGGGAAGAACCATCAACCCTGGCTGAATGATCGAGCAAGCAGCATGTCATCATATCTATGGACAGACCGGAAAAGGCGCCAAGACAGGTGTTCAACCCTCCCCTGTCCAAGCAAGCGCATCACCATTGAGACAGAGCTCCGAGTGCAATGCAAGATTGCAGGTTGCCAATCGCGTCAAGCAATTTTCACATAATATACGAAAGTGTTGCAGACAAGAGAGCGATACTTGCCGTATACAAGGTGATGGATTGGGGTGTGGTTTGTGTTGTCCACCGGCGGGGGTCGGAAGCAGACCCGAGCAGTTTTCTTCAAACTCGCCGCAAGCAGACCCGAGCAGTTTTCTTCAAACTCGCCGCAAGATCTGGGAGGATGTCCTGGGTCTGTCAGAGTAGCTTCCAAGGCAGAAGCTTCCTTTATTTGCGGCGAGGCAAAAACGGCAAATTCTGGGCCAATTCTTGGAGCGTCTGAAGGGCTCTGGTTCAACGACACAGGGCAGGAAAAGGCACCTTGGGTCGCCCAAACATCCCGGCAGCCGTTCGGATTGTCTTCGGGTGACGCCAAAGGGCAGCCAACCCAGCACCAAGCCCATCAAGTGGCTGTGTGGAGTTGAGTGCAAAAAAGGAGTTGACATGATCTGTGGGGTTGGATGCAATTCAAAGGGTGTCAACATCCCAGGCTCGTCTTGGTGTATTTTTCGAAACGAGCGTAAGATGTCGCCGGAGAATGTTGGGTTATTCCCTGTGCCAGGGGGCACTTGCACCCTCAGGTGGTCACCGTTCAGGAAGCGCAGCAGATCGTAGTCAACTTTGGCCGTGTCTTCGGAGACGTCACGGCAGAGACCACCAAGCCCCCCGGCACAGAAACAACCCCGGGGTTTGCGTTGGTAAGCGTGGAAGCAAGCGGACTACGACTAAGTCGTTTCATTTTACCGAGCACCAACCAAGAACGGAGTGCAGTAGCTTCCGCAAAAAAAGGCCAGCAGAACCACCTATGATCATGGATGGACTCTGAGTTGTTAGCTCGCGGAATATGTTTCTGACAGTCAAACCTATGGAGCAAATGGATGGGACCTTCGGTTCGGGCATGAGGTGTTGGCGAACACATTTACTTGACTGAGCGGACCAATCTATAAAGGCTGCTTGGTTGGTCACTCAAACTTTCAGAACATGGCCCAACCCCTTTTGAACAAAATGGGGACGCAATCTTGGGCTGTATATTGATGTTTTTGTCAGACCAGCAGTACAGCAGTCAGGCTGTGAGTCCCATCTTGTTCTGATTGTACATGTCTCAAGTGCATCCCTTTAGCAATCGGAGCAGAGGGCACCACCAAGCACATCATCTGAAGGTGTCACACAAGTTTTGAGACACATTTGACAAAACCTTAAACTTTAGAGCCTCCGGCTCAGTCCGCCTACATTGTCCTGTCCCTTTTCTCCTTCTTCTCCCTCGTGTGTTCTGTCGTCCTCTGTCCCTCCCTTTGCTCCCCATCCTCCCCATTCCCCCCAAGCCTCTCTCTCCTGAGTCTCCCTCTCTCTGTCTCTCTCTCTCTCTCTCTCTCTCTCTCTCTCTCTCTCTCTCTCTCTCTCTCTCTCTCTCTCTCTCTCTCTCTCTCTCTCTCTCTCTCTCTCTCTCTCTCTCTCTCTCTCTCTCTCTCTCTCTCTCTCTCTCTCTGTCCGTCTCTCTCTCTCTCTCTCTCTCTCTCTCTGTTTCTCTGTCTCTTTCTGTCTGCCTGTCTCCTTCCTGTCCACGCCCCTCTACAGAAAAAGGGTACCCTAATTCTTCCCTCTCTACTGGAGGACCTAGTCTCTCTCTCTCTCTCTCTCTCTCTCTTTCTCGCTCTTTCTCTCCGTCTCTCTCTCTCTCTGTCTTTCTCTCTCTCTCTCTGTCTTTCTGTGTCTCTCTTTCTCTGTCTCTCTCTCTCTCTGTCTGTCTCTTTCTCTGTCTCTTTCTCTGACTCTGGCTCTGTCTCTGTCTCGCTCTGTCTCTCTTTCTCGCTCTCTGTGTCTCTCTTTCTCGCTCTCTGTGTCTCTCTTTCTCTCTCCCTCTCTCTGTCTCTCTCTCTCTCTCTCTCTCTCCCCCGCTCTCTCCCTGTTTCTCTCTCTCGCTCTCTCTGCGTTGCAGCGTCACGTCCCCCCTGAGTTGCCTCGATATCCCGGCACTGCCCCTTCATGACCCTGAACTGTCATCTCACAACTGGCTTTCCCCTTGATTTCCACGTTTCCCGTGATGTCCCGGTTTCATGTCCCTCATGTCCCTTCCATTCCTTTCAACTCCCCCTTCATGTCCCTGACATTTTCTCGGTATGTCCGTGTCATTTTCCATGTATGTCCCGTTCTTTCGTTGCGAGTCATTTCCCTACATCTCCCGTCGTGCCGATTGGTTTCGTTGCGCTTTGTTTCCCTGTCATTCCCCCTGCACTCCCCTCGTTTTCATTTCTGTCCCTGTCATGTCCCTTTCAGTTCCCTTTCATTTCCCGTTGCTTTCCTGACATGTGGACTTCCTATTTCCTCCCCTCATTGCCTTGCACTTCCTCGCATTTCCCTTTGCAAAAAAACACTGTTTTTCCAGCGTTTTCGCAAAGAGGACGTCCAAAAACACAGAGTTTTTCCAGATTTTTCCTTGCACTTCCTTGGCTCCCCAGTATTTCCAACAAAAAACACGATTTTTCCAGCGTTTTCGCAAAGAGGACATCCAAAAACACAGAGTTTTTCCAGATTCTCTGCAAAAGCAAGCAGGAAACCCAAACCAGCAAAAAGCTGGCAGGGGGAATCGGGCCTGGGACCCCTGTTTTGCAACACCGAAAGACCGTTTAGTGGAACGTCATCAAATCACCGCGCGGTACGTGGGGACCCCCCCGACCCCCCTGTACCCCACGTATCAGACGTCGGGCGGGGGGGGGGGGTTGGGGGGGGGGTATCCTCTATCCTCTCTTAGGTGTCCGACACGCCAAGCAATGTACACCAGCTAGACCCCAGACAGCGAAAAACAGGCGGATGATTGCATGCCAGCACCTCTGACAGCCCCCTACAGCACACGGCCGTCAATCTCGCCCAACATGCGCCCGGACTCCAAACAGTGTCCCAAAACCAAGCACCCTGCCATCAATCTGTAAACATGCGCCCGCACCGTCACAAGCAGACCCAAACAGAATCCTAAAACAGCACCTGCGCCAGCACCCTAAACTTCATGCCCTATAGCACCCTACGGTCAATCTTGCAAAGCTGCTCCCGCACCGTCACCTGCATGCCTCCTAGCACCCAGCCGTCTATCTTGCAAAAATGCGCCTGCTGGTGACGCCACAAACAGCTCCCCAAACACACACCCTAACAGCTGCACCAGCACCAACTGCACGCCCCCGAATTTAGAACCCCCATAGCTTTCAGCTATCTGGGAAAAATAACAAACCCATCTTAGCGGAGCCTTCAAAGGACCCCTTTCGGCCTTTCGGGGAATTCACGCTGGTTGTGGGGCCGGTGACGATGTCAACCCAGGATTGCCAACGCCTTTGCTGCGGACACCCGAACGCGGATTGGAGTGGGGCGGAGTGGGCAGGTGAGAAGGTCCCACCAGAGTTTGGACGAAGATGCCCTGCCTATATGGGCACATGCGGTTTGTGTATTTTTTGGTTTCGAGCATCCCGTTTCGGTTGCTTTTTTCAAGGGAAGCCAAGGGGAAGTCGAGACTTTGGGGTTGCCCTATATCGAGACAAAGCCCAATATGTGAAGTAGGTCTCCAGGTGGATCTGACATCAGCCCAGCTTCTTTGGCCCAGATGGCTTGTAGCCTCAAGGTTCGAGGCTTCGACACCAAAATGACAGCCACCATGTTTTGGTTTCGTATCCGCATGGAGTTCCAAGGTTTGGTTTTACCGGCCATCAGTCTTCTGGTTTCGGGCGAAAGGTGTGCCCGAGAATGGACTTGACAGCTGCAGCCGCCATTCGACTCTGGATCATGGGTTAGAGATCTGTTGGTTTCCTTTGGGTTTCGCAAGCCTCCAAAAGGAATCGGTTCCCTGATTTTCAGCCATGCCACGGCCCAGGAATCGGAGCCCGCGGCGGGGGGGGGGGAGGGGGGGCGGCAGCGTTTGGGGCCGGTCACTGGGCCGTTTTGTTTGTTGTCGGCTGGGCCAGTCAGTCAGAATCGCGGAGCTGCTGCGGTTGGGGGCCAACTCAAAGTTGGCTGAGGTTGAAAGACGATGTGGCCTTCCAGCCTTTTCGGAACATTGCTCATGTCAGGCAGCCCTAGTTGTTGCTTTGGTACGAGGCTTTCTCCTTGCCAGTTGTTTGAAGGTGATTGGAGCGCCCCTCACCTTTGGGTCGACCAAATGCACAGCTTTTTCATCATTGAGGGGTTGCTTGTGGCAAAATCATCAAATATTCACAGAGGTCAGGGTTGTGTCAATTACGATTTGCGACTTGGACGGTTCCTTTTGGCTTCCCATGCCATTTGCTGAAATGTGCTGGATCCAACTGGAAATACTGGTGGGAGAGAATCCCAAATGGCAACCCTCAGACTGGCTTCGTTTCACCATCCTTTCCCAAAAAAACGGGCTCCGTTTTTTTGCCTTTCTGGACACAGCGCTTCAGCTTCCGTTCGAAGTTGGAGGTTCGAACTGGCAGGGTCTAACCCGGCCAGGTGGACCCCAAGAGAGTCCAAGATCGAGCTGAAGCGCGGTGCATCCTGGGCACCCTGGCAGTCGCCGAGGGCCTTGCCAAGGCCGGGCGCTGACCCCAGGACCTCTCGGAAAAAGATTGTGGTTTTTCACGCCATGAAAAGGGGGTATTTTGGTAGGATGCGTGCAGCAACAACAAACATTATATATATATAGAGTAAATATTCAAACGTTACTCCCCCGAAGACCGCACCTTTTCGATGACCTTGAGGTGAGTGGCAGCTCACATGACATCATTCAGAACCGGCAAAAACTCCAATCGTCTTTTCCGGGTGTTTGTGGTGGCTCACATGTAGACCCATGCAACATTGGTCAGATAGAAGGCGCTTACATTTGGGAATATTGACCATACGAAGCGCAACTGGAAAGAATTCTGAGAAGCCTTTGAGAACAAAGAGCTGCATTTTGCACAGACTTCCGGCAAAGTTAGAGCTTGGTAATATTCAGGGTTGTCCTATAAGGAACTCGCTTCCGTGTTGAGGAATCTATAAGTTGAATATGCCTGCAACTTTCAGTATGCCACATACACCCGAACATAGATGTTATTGTACTAAACATGAAAGAGGCTACCAAGCCATCCATTCACGATCCCGGAGCTACAAGCATAGTTTTCACATGTCTGGACACAGATTGAGTATGAGCTCCAGGTCAGGTCTGGCCTTGCTTGGCTGACGGTTTTGTGGATGGTTCTCTTTCACTAAGTGTGGTCATGGTTTGTTTGAGCACTCTAAGATCTGCTGAAGTACTCTGCAAACTTGCCAGGAGCGCCTTTGTGCTAAAACGCAACCGTTTGTGGGAGAACACACGCATTGCCTCTGCACTTGCCACGACATGCCAGTTCAGAAACAGGCAAGTATTGCGAAGCTTTCGGGAAATTTGGACATGCCGAGTTGTCAGGTTTTCCAGACAAGTGTCCCGCCAATTTGTGCGGTTTTCCGTCAGAAAAATAAGACGTCACGGGCTAACAAGATATTCATTGTACTTTTCAATCCGACTTTAAGGGCTTGCACAGTCACCGGGTGTTGCAGCACGTTAGCGCAACGTGTTTCTGTGAAA